TATATGCGAATATTTATCTTCTCACCATGTCGTCTATATACCACGGAGAATAGCTCGTTAAAACATCTTCTATGAAATTATTTATGGAAAAGACAGTCGGAAACGATGTTATGGCAGTGGGTAATCTGAAATGCCACCTACAAACTCCAAAAATGTAGATACAGCAATAATGGCCATCACCTGTCTCCCTGAATGCTTGTTCTTTGATTGTCCTTTCAACACGGTAAATCTTAATATTTTCTTTCACTCCTAGCAAACCCTTGCTTCTTAGTTGCATAACAGAAGGGAGCTATGGAAGAAAGAATTATTCTACCATTTGTATTATTATGAAATTTGTTTGTGTGTTTTCTTCCTTTTTTAAGGAAAAGCCCGCATTGCTGCTAAACCGGAAGTTATCTGGGAGTGGGCAATAAATCGCATAAGGGAGTCGTAATGTACAGATGAAAAAAAAACTAGCTAACGGAAGGCACACAAGTCGGTATCCGATCAGTATCGTCTGGATCACCGTGAAGAGGGGGGTATGATGTTGAAAGACCCGAAACCCCTAATGAACCTCGGCTAGAAACATCACTGATGATGTGTAATAAAGCATCAAATAGATGTATTTTACGAAAATATGGACAATATTATATCCGTGATATAACATTGTGCATAGGTCAAGTACGGAACGGAATGACTAAAAGGAAAAAAGAAGAGAGATTTTATGCTAAGACTTACACACACACACACACACACACACACACATATATATATATATATATATATATATATATATATATATATATATATATGTAGGAATTAAGTGGGGATTTGAATAATTATAATTAATTCATCGAGTCTAAAAGAATCCTCAACAGAATGCTGAAAGCACTGAACGGCCGTTTCTAGGATTCTTCTAGACTCGCTAAATTAATTATGAGAAAATTAGAAATGCATATCTACTTATGTCCCACTCGGTGAATAGTATGCCACATATATCTACACAGCAAAGGAAAGTTTAAGGAGAAACAAAAAGGAAATGATTTACATAAAATATGGAGATACTTCTGTTTCAGGAGAAGTCATGTATAGGACTCCAGATTCAAACGGGCGGGATTCATCTACCATGTCCGAGGCGAGTACATATCCCACAAACGGAAAACAGCGTGTCTTGGGTTTACACATATTTAGGACTGCGCGCTTGAATTTACCATTGATTGCTGGAGAGACAAATGTAGCCACTGTACGGGTCATCTAAAGAAAGCAACTTCTAGGTTTAGCTACTGTAAAGAAACCAAGATTTCGTCACTATATAGAGTGACGTCGCTAAGCGGTCCATCACGTGACAAGTGATTTATCTCCCTCAAAGGGAGATAATCGCTTTGTGTATCCTTACAGTTGCATTATTGACTTGCTTGTAGTGAAATTATTAAGAAAAATGTCAGGGCTGGAGAGATAACATTACAAATATTTCTTTGGAATCTCTTGCTATATAGCAGAACACCAGACCAGATATAGCAGCGATGTTCAATGGAAAGACAAATGGCAGATTTAGGATTGGGCATGATGATTGATTGAATTGCGACGTCCAGTACCTCAAATACGAGGTGAGCATCGTTTTACTCTTACCGATTAATCCCTGAGATTGCTCTTTCAATAAAGCACCATGCTTTGAACGTCTAATCAGACTCAAGTTCCCGCCAAGCTTCAGATAGACGTCAAATATATGATCCATTGCTAAAGTTGTTATAAAAATGGTCGTATCATTCTAATTAACACACTTATTCTACCATGCTTTATCTTTAGAATAATCAGGTCATACTAAAAATAGTGCTCTATTTGGGCTAGAGTTGTACAATCCTCATAGAGATAGGTTCAAATTGTTATGACTTATTGAGAAAGAAATAATGGACTTATTTTACCTTCCCAATTGAGAGTCCCCTTCTCCCAGGTTAGCTATGATCTAAGTTTCGAGAGCCAAGTCAGTTCTGGTGTTTAAAGCATAGGTAATAGTAGGGAAGAGTATGGAGAATCTAACGCTTATCTCCTGGGAAAACTGGAAACTCCGATATATTCCGCATCGTTCGTTTCACGCTAACACCTTTGCAGATTTCATGAATCCATCTCCAGTGAAACGTTAAAAAGCGAGAGAGACAAGGCTCTCTTGCCTTGGTTGGCAGAAAATCTAGAAGGACTACGCTGGAGCCTAACTTGAAGATGTCTGTTTGGAGATTACGTGGCACGGTATGCATTATTTCACTGTTATCGGTCCTCCCGAAACGTGTAAACTTTACCGCCATAATGAAATCATATATGCTATAGCGGTTTAATTCTAAACTGAGTACTTGGGTTCCGACTCTGAAAATCGAAAGAAAGTCCATGTAGGAAGATATACTACCATATTTGGTCTTGTTCTCCTACTATACATCTTAGGATGCACGGTGGGGAAATGCATAATGGCTCGGATTAGGGAATCGGAGAGTTCAAATCCCAGTCGGATGCATTACATTCACTTACATGCTAATAGTCTTGGGAAATGTATGAATCCTCTTCTCCCCTCTCCAGTTATGGGTAAATAGCAGGAGAGGATGGGTTCTATAGCTTTGGGTGACAACTGGTCTAAGAGAAAGTAACTCTGAATTCAAAACTGTATGTAGCCATGGCGTAGCGCATAATACGCAGCGAAAGAAAGGATCGTTTGCATTGGCTCGATGATCCTGAATGATGATGAAGATACATCTTGAAATTCTTGGAAAAATCCAAAGATGGGTCTGTAATGTAACCGATCCTGACCGGACATCTCGACTTCAGTCACTTTCTCACCGACGTGGCGTGGCTACCAATATTTTCATCGCAACTGCTCTGACATGTATTTTGCCCTGGTGCCGCGGCTACAGGAATTTAAGCGTGCTACTAGATTGGCATTGAGGTCCCACCAGTTTACTGTTGAAATAGCTACAGCCGCCACTTATTCTCCAACAGGGTTTTTTTTCATTTTCATTTTGGTTGGTGGAATTCCCTTCTGTTTACTTGCTTCCCCGATAACTACAATCTTCAAAAATGTAAATGCAAGGCCAATCGTCATCTTCGGCCTTCCCGTTCATCTTTTGTCCTTTCCACAATCCTGCTTATTGTCTTCTTCTTTCACTTTCACTACCTGTAACTCCGTTTGTTAGTGGCTTTCCCGCCTTGAAATGTTTAAAAAAGAAGGTACATGCTGTGTCCCTTTAGGACGTGGACTAACATGATTGTTCACAACTTCTTATCCTTTTTCCTGTCTAGTAACCATTGTCTTTTTTTCCAGGTCCCCTGACTGCCCTTCCGCCAAACATTCACACAATCTTCCCTTCTAGTCGAGGGTATGCTGTTACAAGTTCATCTTCGAACGTTCAATCTTTTCTTTTTTAAGAGTGTGAAGTATTCCCCATTTCCATTTGTAGGTCGGTTGTTTATATATCTTATTTTTATGCAGTTATCTTGTATGTGCATCTTCTATATTCATCTGGATCCCATTTGCTTATATTGCTGTGACATCTTTCTAGATCCTATTGTGCATTTCATGGTTTTGGGAATACCTACTACTTCCACTATCAAAACTCTTAGGTTTTTTGACATTCTGATGTGACACCGAGTACAAAATATTTTGGGGACTCTTAGGAACAATCCAGTACTTATTGGAGTCACCACAGATCAAGTATTTTTTTTTTATTTACATTATTCGGACTATTGTCCTCATCTTTGTCGCCATATTTATTACAACGTTTCGGCCTTCTTCAGGTGGTTGGAATGTCAAACTAATCCCTTTATTTCGATGGCACATGTCACAGTGTATAAAAACGTTAGTTAGTTCCAGTGACAGGTCCCAAAACGTCTGAGTTCAATACCCGGCTAAGGCAGTAAACTTTCAGAGGGAAATTAACAGGAGATAAATGATAAATGACATCCATTAAACATGGAACGTGGAACTAGAACAGTCTACCCCAGTGAGCGAAATAAAGGACCCACTTCGACATTCCAACCACCTGAAGAAGGCCGGTGCGTACAACGGCCGAAACGTTGTAATAAATATGGCGACAAAGATGAGGATTGTAGTCCGAATAATGTACATAATGTACATAATACCTCACCTCAGAAATATAGACAGATACTGAAAGGCCGAAACGTTGTAATAAATATGGCGACAAAAATGAGGACAATAGTCCGAATAATGTAAATAATGTACATAATACCTCATCTCAGAAATATAGACAGATACTGAAAGGCCGAAACGTTGTAGTAAATATGGCGACAAATATGAGGACAATAGTTCGAATAATGTAAATAATGTACATAATACCTCATCTCAGAAATATAGACAGATACTGAAAGGCCGAAACGTTGTAATAAATATGGCGACAAAGATGGCGACAATAGTTCGAATAATGTAAATAATGTACATAATAACTCATCTCAAAGGTTCCTGATGGTGATTAAATTCGAATCAGGCTTCTGGTATTAGCTGGTGTCTATCGTATACGAGATAAGATACCCGAACGTTCACTCATTCTGACGGTCTTTTTTTATTAAAAACTTTACAAAATATATTTCGAAGGTGATGTTACCTGGAAACCACAAAACTCAGTCGATGTGTAATTTATCTTATGCACCTTTTTACTTTCTTCATATACCGTTTCTGTTGATTCGGTTATTTATTCATACAGATTTTGTTGCCTTTATATTTGTTGTTTATATTCAAAGTGTTATTTCCATTTTTTGTCTCTTTTAATCCAGTTACCAATGCGGCTAAAACAAATCTATGCCAATCTATGTAGATTTAGTTTCTCGTGTTACTCCGAAAAGGAAGTGAGCTGGTCATAGCGAAATGGTGGGGGGTTGCGGTGATGAAGACAATTTCGCTATTTTGTATTTCGCTCACACAGCGGAGTTGCGCGTTCAAGAATCAAGAAGCATTTACGACGGGTCCTCATTCATTATTCATGTTGGATTTTTCCATTTCATTCTCATTCTTTATCCTTGGTGGATCATAGGATTTTACTTTTACTCGCATGGAGTAGGCATCTGGTTGCATAGGCAGACTGAAATAAAAATTTTCCGAACAGATAGATAGATAGATAGATAGATAGGAATGGAGATAGATTGATAGATAATCGTAAACATAGATAGATAGATAGATAGATAGATAGATAGATAGATAGATAGATAGATAGATAGGAACAGGTAGCTAGGGGGATAGATAGATGGAGAGCAAAAGCCCAATTGATAGATAAAAGCAGTCTGTCAGATTGAGGCACAGAGAGAGAGAGAGAGAGCGAGAGCCCACTAGCTAAATAATAACTTTCTGATAGATAGATAGATAGATAGATAGATAGATAGATAGATAGATAGATAGATAGATGTGAACTGATAGTTAGCTATCAAGATAAATAGACAGATAGACGGAGATCGAAAGTAAAATGGCTAGATAATAAAGATAGATAGATAGATAAAGTTAAATACCTAGATAATAACAGTATCACAGATAGATAGAGAGATAGATAGCTCGCTAGATAGATATATAGATATATATGACCATATAGCTAGCTCGCTAGATATATAGATATATATGACCATATAGCTAGCGAGCTAGATAAATAGATAGACGGAGAGCGAAAGTTCAAAAGCTAGATAATAATAGTTTGATAGATAGATAGATAGATAGATAGATAGATAGATAGATATGAACAGATAGCTCGCTAGATAGATATATAGATAGATATGACCAGATAGCTAGCTAGCTCGCTAAATAAATAGATAGACGCAGAGCAAAAGTTAAATAGCTAGATAATAATGGTTTCATAGATAGATAGATACATAGTTTGATTAGATTAGATTAGATTCCGTTATTGGTAGAATGCGATAAAGGTACAAGAAAGGAAACTGACACATAAGCACATACATATTTCACACATGACGAAAGGAAGAGGCCATAAATTTATATAGGCCAGTTCATAACAAAGGCACATTTGAGAAGTAAGGAGTTTCCTCCGAGTGCCATATTTACCTTTTATTGCGTATCTGACATTCGTCAGTTCATATGCAATCAGTTCTTTTAGAACCAACTGCTTGCACGATGTTGCATTTTGAAACGGTTGCAAATGGCGACTTCCTCATCTATTCCATTTTTCCGCTTTCAGTTTGCAAATGAGGCTATGTGCCATTCTTCTTCATTTTCGTCTTCTATATACAGCGTCCTTTTAAGACGTTGGCGATCATGGATCTCCACAATTTCCTATCCTTTTATAGCTCTTAGTGAATGGTGTCTTTCTGTTAACATTGAAGTCATCACTCCGAGGCAACAGGCTGTTTCATGCTGGACGCAATCGTCAGGCCTGACAGCCGTCCAGCATGAGTCCAGCATGAAATATATATATATATATATATATATATATATATATATATATATATATATATATATAACAGAGAGAGGAGGCACAGCTTGGTTTGAGGAATCGGAGAGCCGAGTTCAAATTCCAGTCGAATCCATTACATTCGCTTACGTGCTAGTAACGTTCAGACTGAATTCGATAGCCTTTGCTGGCAACTGGTCTAGGAGAAGGACAATTCTGAATTCAAAAATTTCCGCAGGGTCATTTGGGGACCTCGTGGCACATAGTGTACCAGGTCTCAGTATTCTGCTCTTCAAAAAGTGTGATTGATTCTGCACGAAGCCGTAATCACTATAATCAAATCATATGTGCTGGTGTCTAGGTTGTCGCTGCTTGTCCCTCATACGTCGAATACACACACACACACACACACACACACACACACACACACACACACACACATATATATATATATATATATATATATATATATATGGAGCTGTGGATAGCGTCTTGGATTGAGTCGGAGATCCGAGTTCAAATTCCAATCGAATCATTACATTCACTCACGTGCTAATACCGTTAGGAAAAGGATGAATCCTCCTATTCTCCCTCCAGCTATGGGTAAATAACAGGACAGACTGGTCTGGGAGAAGGACAATTCTTAATTTAAAACCTGTGGAGAATCATTTAGGGATATTGCGGCACGTAGTCCACCAGGTCTCTGTATTCGGCCCTGCAAAAAGTGCTGGTGTCTAGGCTGCCAGTTCCTAAGAACTGAGCTGCTTGACCCTCATATGTCGAATACGTATATATATATATATATATATATATATATATATATATATATAAACAGATAGAGAGAGAGGATGCCACAAAGCCTACTAACTCATGTGAAAATCCGGCACTGATGATAATAAAATATTGTCATAAATTTGAAACTTCATTATGAAAAAGACAGGGATATGAAGGAATATTCTATACGTTTTTCTTCTTTACACACGGAATATGACTTCCATATTAATGTCAGCATTGCCCCTTCCTCTTTCCATTTGTCTGTTCAACACTCTCGAAATAAGTGTCGATATTATTTTAATTAATAACTGACATTTTGTATTTCGGTGTAAAGATGATTTGCATTTAAATCGAACTTTCTCTATCGATTTCCGCATTTGCCGGTAATATTTTAGATTGAAACGTTCTCTATTAATTATCACCGAACACTCAACTTGAGACTACCCGGCCCCATTTTGCCGTCGGCGGAATTTATTTCCGTACACGTTTCTTTTATTGTCCTTTCATAATCTACTATTATTATTTGTCTCCCAGAAGAAAGATCATGTCTCAAGAAACGATTCGTCCAGAAAGAAATATTTTTTGTGTAATAAATTAGATATATATACTCGAATCTCCCGTCGCCTTTGACGTATGACGGTCAAGCAGATCAGTTCCTAGGAAACTGACAGCCCGACAACAGCACATGAGATTTGATTATAGTGTTGAAGGCTTTTTGCAGAACTATCCACACTTTTTGAAGGGCCGAATACAGAGACTTGGTGAACTTCGTGCCACAAGGTACCCAAACGACCCTCCGCAGGTTTTGAATTTAGAGTTGTCCTTCTCCTAGACCAGTTGACATCCAAGGCTATAGAACCCAGTCTGTCCTGCTATTTACCCATAGCTGGAGGGAGAAGAAGAGGATTCCCACCAACTCAGTCTGTCACAAAAGAACAACATGCATTGACTTCTCGAAAACAAAAAGAAAAGGAACCAACTCAATATATGTGCGTCTGTGTGTATGTATGTATGTAGAATTCTTAGAATTAATCTTTAGAAAAAGACAATATTTATAAAGGAAAAAAAGACCCTTGGAAAACTCTATGGAGTTTTAGCCGACGTGTTTCTAGTAACAACATCCTCTTTTTGTTTATTGATTCTTTGTTTAAATAAATTCATTTCATGCTTTGCTTTGATAAAGTCCGCAGTGGACGAAGGCGTCGGCTAAAACTACATACAGTTTTTTCCTATTGTCTTTATTCCTTTATTCTTATATATATATATATATATATATATATATATATATATATATATATATATATTTTTTTTTTAATGTATTTTGTTTAAACGTAATTTTTGATGGATACACATAATCAAGTAGAAGATCTGTTTTTTTGTTTGTTTTTTTTTAATTAAACAGTATTTTTAATCAACCATTATCCAACTCCATATGCCGTACTGAATATTCGAGAAATCTTTCATAAACATATGCGTCCTCCGACAGGATTCGAAACTGCATATTCGATGTAGAATTGTCGTTATATCTGACGTAAGACTTCTGATCAAACAAAATCCGAATAAAGCCTTTTGAACACACATTTCTCTGTCGATTCTCGGAGGAATAAATTTTTCATTAATTAATCCGGCATATTTTATTGCTCAAACTTTATTTTTTGATGGATTTAATGTTATTTTTAGTAGATGTTCATATTTGATGGGATGCTCTGTTTATTTATCAAAAAGTATATTTCTTTATCTTCGTCTACTAGAGTGAATATACGAACATCAATATTCCGTCAACAATACCAGACTGAGTATTCGAAAAATATTATTAGAAAATTATTCTGCTGGCGAGCGCAAAATTTTCTCGAATATTCTGGCAGGTTGATGAAAATTAATAAATTTACTGGTTAGCAAATAAATAAACCATGCTCTCAAATATGAGTATCCGTTAAAAATAACGATTAATATATATATATATATATATATATAATGAAAAAATTTTGCGGGATTTAGAGTAATCACATATACTAATACATCGAATCCAGAATAATCTTCAATAGAATAAAAAAACGCAGTGCATTCTATTGAATATTATTCTGGGCTCGATAAATATATATATATATATATATATATATATATATATATATATATATATATATATATATATATATATATATATATATATATATATGTGTGTGTGTGTGTGTGTGTGTGTGTGTGTTTACATATATAGTAATTTATATATATATATATATATATATAGTAATTTATATATATATATATATATATATATATATAGTAATATATATATATATATATATATATTTATATATATAATTTATATATATATATATATATATATATATATATTTTACATATATAATAATTTATATATATATATATATATATATATATATATATATATATATATATATGTTTAATTTAGTTATATATATATATATGTTTACATATATAGTAATTTATATATATATATATATATATATATATATATATTTATATAGTAATTTATATATATATATATATTTACATATATAGTAATTTATATATATATATATATTTTGCATATATATAGTAATTTATATATATATATATATGTTTGCATATATAGTAATTTATATATATATATATATTTGCATATATAGTAATTTATATATATATATATATATAAACATATATATATTTATATATATATATTTTTACATATATAGTAATTTATATATATATTTTACATATATAGTAATTTATATATATATATGTATGTTAAACATATATAGTAATTTTTATATATATATATATGTTTACATATATAGTAATTTATATATATATGTTTACATATATAGTAATTTATATATATATATATATTAAACATATATAGTAATTTATATATATATATATATTAAACATATATAGTAATTTATATATATATAAAATATGTTTACATATATAGTAATTTATATATATATATAAAATATGTTTACATATATAGTAATTTATATATATATATAAAAATATGTTTACATATATAGTAATTTATATATATATATAAATATGTTTACATATATAGTAATTTATATATATATATATATTTACATATATAGTAATTTATATATATATATATATATATATATATATATAATAATTTATGTATATATATATATATATGTTAATATGTATAGTAGTTTATATATATATATATGTTTATATGTATAGTAATTTATATATATATATATTTATATATATATAGTAATTTATATATATATATATGTTTATATATATATATATATATATATATATATATATATATATATATATATATATATATATATATATTATATTGATTCACCCATCGTGTTGGAAGTATGAGATCAAGCAGCTCAGTTCCTACGAACCGACAGCCTAGACACAGGTACATATGATTTGATTATAGTGTTGAAGGCTCTGTGCAAAACCAACCACACTTTTTGAAGGGCCAAATACAGAGACCTGGTGCACTACGAGCAGTACGGTCCCCAAATGAACCTCCGCAGGTTTTGAATTCAGAGCTGTCCTTCTCCTAGTCCAGTTGA